AGGTAGTTGCATGATTGTTGAATAAAGAAAAAAAAAAAAATATGCACCAGAAGTTTAAGGCGGTGGCTTTGATATTTTGCCAATGAAGAGGCTATAAATACCCATGTAATACTTGGCGTTTGTGTAGCAGTGCAGAGAGCAAAAGAAAGAAAGAAGCAAAAGCAATAAAAGCCTCCATCCCTTCTCCAATCAGAAAATCCCATGCCTAGTTCCTTGTCCCATTCTTCAAATTAAACTACAAAACCTTTTCCTTCCCAAACAACAACACGTGCCCACCAAATTCCACCATTAGCTTTCCAAATAGTTAAAGGAAATAATTATATTATTTCCAACAGATTCTCCCCAGTTTGAACTTATATGTAAATTCCTTTATTCAGAATCCTCACTAAATTGGACGCGCGAACTGCAAATCCTTTAGAACATGGAACCGAGAAACAAAAAAAAAAAAAAAAAACAAAAGAGGAACTCGAATCAGTAGTCAGCAATTCATTATGCAGTTCAATCCACCCTTCTATCCTTGATTTCCAAGAAATATTCCAGGAAAGTCACACACTTGATAAAATTAGTTGTTGGAACCCTTTAGTGGTGAATTTATGCCCTTTCTGTCATTGTGTTGCTGAGTCCAGGAGTAGGGGTGGCCAACGGGAAACGGGTATTTGGGTATACCCATACCCGTCCCGTTTTTTTAGGGTTACGGGTACCCAAATACCCGTAATATATATTACGGGATGAGACTTGGGATTGAAAATTTAAACATTGGGTACCCGCGGGTTACCCGCTAATACCCGTTGGGTAGTATGGGTACCCGTTATACCCAATACATAGCCATTAACCCTAATATTTCAAGTTAATAAAACGAGCTTATTGTTAATGAAGATTATCCTCTTTTGACTTTTGCTCTCTGTTAAGTTAAATGATCTACTGTCTGTGGGTTTATTATCAGAGGGAAGAGGAGATGATCCTCTTATCTAGTGGTCCTTGTTTAATGAAAGTGGTGTGCATATTTTCATGGTGGCAGCAGCATTTCTTGCTGCAGCTGGCCTGGCGGCAGCATCTCTTCTTGCTGCAGGTGGCGACTGATTTAGTTAGTTTCATGGTGCAAATTTTTTAAGTTTATATAATTTTGTTACTTTTCAACGGGTATATACGGGTAGTTTGGGTACCCGTTATCCGTTCCGTACGGGTAATGGGTACCCATTTCCCGTACGGGTTTGGGATATGGGATGGATTATCCCCTTCAAATGGGAATGGGTACCCGTTCCCGTCCCGTTTTCCACCCTTATCCAGGAGCCATCTCTTCTTCCTATGTTCTTATTCTGAGGCAGTTGTAAAGTCTCTGTTTCCTCGACAGCACATCATAGGCAGCAATTGGGAGGCTTCTCTGGGGACAGTTATGGTGAAGTTTAGTCCTGAGTCTTCATGGGGTGTTTTAGCCAAATTGTTATGGATGACGATGGTTAGTGAGCTTTGGAGGGAGCGATGCCGAAGGCTTTATGCAGGGGAATCCCTCACATAAGATCAACTCTGTGAGAAACTTTAGAAATCAGTCCACCTCACCAGAATGACCTGTGCAAAGGTTGGGGTTTGTTGCTGCTGCTTTACATTTAGCAAAAGGTTTCATGTTTGTCTAGTTTGTTATATGTTATCTGAGTTATATTAGCTTTGTGGTTGGAAAGCTCTGGATGTATTGACTCTCGATTTGTGAATTGGTGCCAGTTAGGAACTTTGTCCCTTTCTTGATGAATAAGAAACCTCATTCATCGAAAAAATATTCCAGGAAAGAAATTCTTCATACTTCTCATCATGCTCAGACGCTCACCCAGCAAGAAACAGTGAAGTTGAGCAGATAAGAATTCAAAATTATAAAAAAAAAAAACAAATTTTTTTTTGAACATTTCTCGGCAACCAAACAGAGTATCGAACAGCTAGAAGTTGAGAAAAACAAAAACACGCCGCAAGAAAATTAAATCAAAATACCTTGTAAAGAAATCGTGGAACAGTAACCGATCACTAGATATCACCGGAGTTTCGTCAGTAAACTCATTGTCTACCGGCAATGGCTGATCGGGAACCTTGCAAATTCACAAGTTTCCCGGAAGATAGAAGGAGGAATTCATCAGAGAGAGACTAACGAAAAGATCCGCACTCATGAAGTGGCACTCGTTGGGGGAAATGAACCAAGCAAGCAGCTTGTGTGCAGCACGTGAATACTTGCATGAGCTGGTTTATTTGGTAAATAAATTAAATAAGTGGCTGGTTTGTTTAATCACGTGGAGAATTATCAATTATGATGCATGGTCATGGTAATTAAGAAGAACGTGATTCCAATGGAGGGATTAGATGTTGGCGGGTTGATTTCCGCTAGCAGCAAAGGAAAGGCAGAACTCATTGTTCGCCAGGGAGAAGGAAACCTGCACCAGCCATTTTGTTTTTGAGTTTATTTGTAGTTTATTTATTTATTAAAGTAGTATTAAGTTACCTAGTTAGTTTGAGATTTGTTTTCTTAGTCCTTTTAGGTTAGATTTATGTTTTTATAACCTCTATAAATAAAGGGTGTAAGATCTACGAATTTTCTACACATTATTCAAGTTATCAATTAAGAGTTTTTACTCGTGTTCCTTTGTGAACGTTTGTGCAAGTTTCTGTCGAGAGTCTCCAGGAGTTTCACGTGTCTTTTATACACTGGAGAAAGCATCTAGTTGTGGCGAGCATCTACCAAATAGCGATTGGCCTTATTCACGAGTGCGTGATTATTTGATTGGTTTCATATATCAATTGGCCTTTCACACGAATTGGAATTTGTTTGATCGTGTTCCATATCTATCCTTTATTTCAAGTTGTTCATGTTGGAGAAAAGCTTTGAAAATCCTTAAAAAGAAGGAAGGCTGCGAACTTTGGTCATATAATCCGAGTTCGAGGATTCTCTTCGGATTTGGATCATATCAAGTGGTATCAGGAGCACGGTTCAAACTCAGAGGCGATTTGAAGATTATCGGTTGAAAATCAGCAGCAAAAAAAAGGGTTTTATTTTTATGATCATTTACTAGAAAATAAAAAAAAGAATTGTGATTTTCGTTTCTGTTGTTTTGTTAAAAAAAGATAGAGAGAGAGGTCAAGTGTAAAAAAAAGGAGAAAAGAAAAATTTAATAAGCCACAAAGCTGAAACGTGAGCAAGAAAAAAAAACTTGTCTTTTGTTTTTTGTGTGTTTATATGATGGAGATCAACAGAGAAGGTGAGAAACTCTGCATTCCATTGTTTCATGTGAAAGGAATCCAAAAGCCTATCTGGTATGAGGCTGCAGTATCCAGAAAGCACACATACCCACGATGTGCCTTCTTATCTACAACCAAGGCGAGATCGTCTTCAAAACTGTTGTCCACTTCTGCCACGACAACTGAACCAGGTTTCTTCTATTGCCCTCTTCTCATGGGACAGTTGTACTTCCAATGCCCCACTTCCTTACAGTTGTGACAAGCATCACCTGGCTGTGGACCAGGACCCTTGGAATTCTTGTTTGAATTTCCTTTGTCGTATTTCTTCTTTCCCTTTCCACCTGTAACAGCCAAACCCGATGCCTCACCACCTGTACTAGATCCAGACGCCTTATGTCTGATCTCTCTCGTATGAAGAGCAGACCTGACATCCTCCAACGACACGCTTTCTTTACCGGCAATAAAAGAATCAACAAAATTCTCATATGAACTCGGCAAAGAAACCAGCAGGATTAGTGAAGCATCCTCGTCGAACATCTATATTACGCAGATCCAGCAAAATAGAGTTAAGTTGTTCGAAATGTTCACTCAAAGACGTACCTTCTTGCATCCTCAAGTTGAAAAACCGTTGCTTGAGATGCAACTTGTTGGTTAAGGACTTCGTTATGTACAGACTCTCCAACTTTAACCACAAGCACGCGGCAGTCTTCTCAGCAGCGACTTCAATAATGATGTCACCAGACAATGATAGCATGATGGTCGAGTGGGCCTTCTCCTCTAGGGTACTCCACTCAGCATCATTGACCGCTGCCTTCTTCTGTTTCGTAGACAGCGGCCCCCACAACCCTTGCTGTTTTAATAAAGCCTGCATCTTGATCTGCCATATAGCGAAGCTGTTCTACCCCGTGAACTTTTCGATCTTCATGTTCAACGACGTCATTCTTCTTAATCGAAAACGCTAGCCTGATTTCTAGGAGCGGCTTTGATACCACCTGTTATAAACGCGCTGCTACAGATCGGGAAATCGCCGGAATTGATAAAGCAAGAATACGAAAGCGAGAACCGAAAAACACAGACACACGATTTACGTGGTTCACTAACACGATGTGTGTTAGCTAGTCCACAGGCGAGAGAGAGCCAGACACAGAGAAGTATGAGAAGTATTTATAGTACTTCTCAATGTGGTTCTAAACCTAATCCAATCTGGCAAAGAAAACAGTTACAGACCAGGCCCAGAACCCCCGACTAATCCAGTCGTAGCGGCTGATAGTCCGATTCAAGTCACTTCAACACTGAAGATTGGTGATGGGTTGATAGATCAGAGGCTGCCCCTTCGATTCAGGGTTTAACGACCGAAAATTGGTCTTGCCGGCTAAGAAGGATGACTTATGGAAGATCAGCGGTGAAGAGGTGAGCTTGGCGTTGGTGGCGGTCTGGTCGAACGACGTTGTTTCTCTTTCTTTCTTGCTATATTGGTATATGCGAAAAGGGATGTCTCTCTCTCTCTGAGCTTCTCGATCGATATCTCTTCCCTCTCCCACAAAAGGGATTAGCATGTTAAGAATTTGGAAGCAAGGAGATCATTATCATCAATGAAAATCTTTTAGGTTAAAGTTGTTGTATTTATTCGTTTAACCCAAACCATGAATTGGTTAGGGGCTAAACTTGAACTCAAAAGTGAGGGTGGTTTACAAGAGAGTCAATAAATAAATAAATAAAAACATGAAACATTGATCATGCACACGGAATGGAACAGATGCAATTCTCAACAGAGGTTTTTTTTTTTTTCAGCACTGTCCAGATCGCACGACCTGAGTCTCGGCACACATGGCTTCGACGCAGCCGCACCAATAGGTGTAGCCATCAGCACCGCAGACCGGGTCGGTTATGAGGCAGTAAATGGGACAGGACTCCGGGTCCGGTTTGCTTATCCCTTTGCAGATGTCGCCGGCTTCCACCTTCGAGTGGAGCACCCACAAGCTGATCCCCAATGCCATTATCAAGGCCAACGACATCTGTTGACGGAACGAGGCCGATGCCACCATTATGTAATAATTGTACAATTGGGGGAAATGAAGATAGATTAGGCAAGAGAGAAAGATGCAGGAATTTGGGATTGAGCACAAGGCTTATTGTTCTGCAGAGGTCAAGTATTAATAGATAACGAAAATTTTGTGAGGGAAACTAGAGCTTGAAGATGTACGTTTCTAGGTTAGAATCAGAGGCCCCTGTGTTAGGAACGCTCTGCTATGTATTAATTAGAGATCAGTTTGTATTCAATTGAGTTCCAACCAATACCGTTTCTTTTTTATTGAATCAATATAATTAAATTTATGTTTATTATTTGATGAAATCTAACTGCTTATATTTAGATATCCAATAGGACATGAATTTTATAAGAAAATAAAATAATCTAACTAACTTATTCGAATATAAAATGTAACAGTCTAACTTGGTGAATTATCAATTTTATAAAAATACCCGAATAATGAGTGAACTCTTACATACCGTTTGGTACAAATGAATTACATAAATTCTGAGAAATTCATTTTGAAATAAAATATTTGGTATTTAAAAGAATTTATTTTCAATTCAAAATTTTGAATTCTACGGAATTTGAACTAGTTATAGAAATTTCGAGGAATTGAGATGGAATTTTCAAATGAATTGCACAAAAATTTACTAATTATAATTGAATTACATAATTATCCACATTTATTAACTAAATTACTTCTACATATATTATTTGACTCTTACCCATGCCATATGAGGAAGATTGACACTAATTTTATTGCAACACCACTAGCATATTCTTATTATTTAATATTTCTGCTTCGATTGTATCAGTACATTGAGAAGCTCCAACTAGAGTGCAACGTTCACTGACGAAAGTATTCGAAAAGAACTAATGAATAGAATAGAAACAGAGAAGAACACTTTGATATTCTACGTATGAGAGCAAAAACATTTTGTAGAAGATTAATTTTTTATGAATATTGTTTCTGCGAGAAATTAATCAGGGCATAGTTGGAAACTTTTAATTTAATTCAATTCTAAATGTATGTCCAACAAAATTTGGGAATTCAATTTATTGTATTTCTAAAGATTTGAATATGATATATCAAACACAGTACCCGTATCATTGAGGAGGGGCAAATGCCTGAGGGACTAAATCAGAGTTTGATCGCCCTTATTCCGAAGGTCAAGAACCCTACGACACCTATGGAGTACCACCCAATTAGTTTATGCAATGTGTTATACAAACTGGTGGCTAAGGTATTGGCCAACCGACTCAAATAAGTGTTAGACAAAGTGATTGGATGTGCTCAAAGTGCTTTTGTGCCTGGACGTATCATCACAGATAACATAATGGTAGCTTTTGAGTGTTTTCATTCCATGAAACGAAAGAAAGAGGGGAGCAAGGGGTTTGCTGCAGCTAAGATTGATATGGCTAAGGCCTACGATAGAGTTGAGTGGAGATTCCTTGAGGTTGTTATGGCAAAAATGGGGTTTGGGACCCGTTGGATCTCGCTGATGATGATGTGTGTTCAGTCGGTGGAGTACTCGGTGTTGGTTAATGGGCATCGGTCGGAGCCGCTCTTACCAGAGAGAGGATTACGACAAGGGGACCCACTGTCACCATACCTTTTCCTACTATGTGCTGAAGGCATGTCCTCATACACGAACAAAGCGGTTTCGGAAGGAAGGATTCATGGGTTCCAACCGGCGAGGGGTGCTCCCGTGGTGTCCCACTTGTTTTTCGCTGACGACAATATTTTCTTTTTCAAAGCAACTACTCAGCAGAGCTTGCAGCTGAAGAAGATTTTACATGATTACGAGCTGGATTCAGGTCAACTTATCAATTTCCAGAAGTCGGTAGTGTCCTTCAGTAAGAACATCAAGCCCCATGGGATCTGCTAGTGGGCGGAGTCCTCAAGATGAAAATCATGGCCAAGCACGACAAATACCTGGGGCTCGCCACAGAAGCTGGAAGATGGAAGAAAGAGCTATTCACAGACCTGAAAGATAGAATCCGTAAAAAGCTCAAGGGATGGAAAGAAAAAGCAATGTCGGCTGCAGCTAGGGAGGTCATGATCAAATCGGTGGCACAAGCGCAACTCACTTATGCCATGTTGGTTTTTCGAATCCCGGAGGGCGTACTTGAGGAAGTCAACAATCTGATGCTGAACTTTTGGTGGGGCCAAAGAGGTTCGGAGAGACGTGCTCACTGGGTGAAAAAGGAAGAACTAGTCATACCGAAGGAGGAAGGCGACCTTGGGTTCAGGGACTTGCGCGAAATTTAATACGATGCTTTTTGCAAAACAGCTTTGGCGGCTTCAGAAACGGCCGACCTCGCTAGCTGCCCGTATAATGAAAGCCAAGTACCATAAGAAGGATAGTGTTTTGGAGGCGTCGTGTGGCTATAATCCAAGTTATATTTGGCGGTCAATCACGAGTGCACAAGATTTCCTTCACAGTGGGTTACGGTGGAGAATCGTAAATGGATCTGAGGTGAGGATATGGGGTGATAAGTGGATTCCAATGGAACAGGCCTGGTTTGTACCCTCGCCCCTACCGGTTTGCTAGAGGCCACTGACCATGAACCCGAGCAAATGAAGCGGTGCGTTTTGGTCGCAGGACTAAGTTCACAGACGCGTTTCAATGTTCACGGCCGTGAACTCAGACCATGAACTTGGCGCAATCTCAATTTAAAAGACTTGCTGAAAGGAAGTATAGAGAGAACTAAAGTGAGAAACTTCTCCTTCTTCAGATTTTAGAGTGAGAAAGTGACCAACCAAAAAAGAGGAAAAGCTAGGGTTTCTTCTCCAAGCAATGTTTTGAGAATTTCTTCCCCAAAGGAATATTTCTTCAGCGCAAGGAGCAAGGGTTGCATCTTCTTGATGGTTTCCCTTTCCCTCTCTTCTGTTTTCCCTTCTCCTAGCATGGAGTAGTCCCTTCTTTCACTCGGGTGTTTGTAAACCCTAGCTACGATTATGTGAATGCTTGTATGAATTGAATGATGTGTATGGTTGCGTTTTAATGTGAACGTGGAGGTATTATTCAGAAATGATTGTGTTGTGTGAACGCCTATCAATCTAATTGCCATTCTAACCTAGTTGAGAGAGGAGACCTCCTTAGGTTAGGAGGCTCATCGGGTGTTCTTGGGCATTTCATGCCTCCTAGGCTAGTTTAGAGTGGAAACCTCATTAGGTTAAGAGGCTCAATTTGAGATGGGTGTTCTTGGGCATTTCATGCCTCCTATGCTAGTTTAAAGAGAAAACCTCCTTTACCCAACAGGCTCGGTTTCCTTGGGCATTCAATGCCTCCTAAACTAGTTTAGAGAGTACCCTCCTTAACCTAAGAGGCTCATTTCGAGATGGGTTTCCATGGCCATTTAATGCCTCCTAAACTAGTTTAGAGAGAACCCTCCTTAACTTAAGAGGCTCTATTAGAGATGGGTTTCCTTGGGCATTCTATGCCTCCTATTCTAGGTTAGTTAAATGGAAAACCTCCTAATTCGCATTAGCACTAAGAGTTTGGTTGTGGGTGGCCGTCCGAACTCCAATTCGAGGGTGAAGTCTAACCATTCCTTAGTTGATAGGTTGAGAGGGTCACATTAGTGGCTTGGATCGTATCCCATTCCTTAACCTAGAGGCTAGGAGGGTAGCTTCGGTTGCTTGTTAGATTTCCATGCGGTTTATGACCCCCTAACCACACACGGTCGTTCGATTCTTCAAGTCATAATTGTTAGCTAGGGGTAGCAACACCCGAGTGAAGCTTTCTCAACTAGAGTCAAATCCATTTTACCTTTATAAAGCAATTTAGTTTTAGACCTTTGTTTTCACCAAAACCAATTTGCTAGATAATGTTTCAAACAGTCGAAGTAGCGGTACATGGACCAACCCAGGTCGATATTTAAACATACTTGGCCTATATTGCACCCATCTAAGGTTATATTTGGACCTTATGTGGGATTTTATTATGATAGTCAGAGCGAGTCAAGTTTTTGGCGCTGTTGCCGGTGATCTCTGTCTGTTATCGTGAAAAGTTTGTTTGGTGTTAATCTAGCTTTTGTTTATGTTTTTGTTAAGTTCATGACCCGATATTGTCCTCCATACAACACAACCGAGTGGAAGAAGAAGATCACACACTTTGAGCAAGAGGATGATGAGACATTGAGGGATGCATGAGAAAGATTTTCCGACTACTTGCTCCAATGCCCACACCATGGATTCGAGGAGAAATTTCGGATAGAAACTGTCTATGGAGGAATCATTCAAGATGAAAAGATCCTCATTGACTCTCTTTGCCAAGGGAGGTTGATGAACATGACCCCTCCTCAAGTGACCGAGTTTATCAAAGATATGGCTTTTAAGGGATATGATTGGGGCTTAACAAGAAGTGGGAAGAGAAGCACCGATCGAGGAGTGTGAAGTGTGGGAGCGAGTGTTACACTTTAAGCGAAGCTTGATAAGTTGATCGAGGTGATCGTTAAGGACAAGAAGCAAGGGAAGAGAGCGGTGATGTCTTGTGATTGGTGTTCGAGCACCAATCACAAAATTGCGTATTGCCAAGCGATGAAGGAGTCGAGTACCCCCGAGGAGTAAGTGAGCATCATTTCCAATGCTAGAGGGAACAACCCTTATAGAAACACCTACAACGCTGGGTGGTGCAATCATCCAAACTTCGCTTGGTCTTCCCCTACCAATCCATGAACTCCCGGTTTTCAAGGTCCAACGGGTAACTATCAACCTCATCCAACATTCATCCAACACAGGCCTCAATTCCAAAACTCGAACTTCCAACAACCATACCAAGCACAAGGTGGTCAAGGTTCTCAAAAACAAAAACAAGTAGACCAGTTCTCTAAAATTGATGACCTTGTGAACGCATGTGTGAGTACAAGCTCTCAGAAGTCTGAGAAGATTGAGCAATTCATGGATGTGGCCAAATCCAAGTTTACCTCGGTTGAGGCGGGACTCCTAAGCCATCAAGA